GGGGGAGGTGCTGCTGTGATTGACACCGAGAGGCACAGCGAGAGGGTGGGAGTGTCAGAGGGGCTGAGTGTGTGTGTGTGTGTGTGGGGGGGGGCGCTGGCCTCCGCAGAGAAAGGCCGCAGGGGGTGGTGTGTTGGGGTCGGATGCTCCCCCTAGACCCTGAGAGTTGGAGAGATGGAGGACGGGTTGGGCCTTTGAATTGGGGGCTGTTGGCAGGATTTGGGGGAAATTGGCGGGAGGGTGGTTGGCTCCTGCAGTTGGGAGAATTGGGGGCGTGATGATGGGGCGGGGAGCAAATGTGGGCGGCCTGGGCAGGACTGGGAGAGTACAGCTCAGCTGGCAGTATTTGAGGGCCGGGGTGGGGGCGGGTGACCATGGACGGAGGAGAGCTGGCCGGGCCTGGGGTGGGGAGCCCAGACTTCCTCCCCTTCCTCCCCAGCCACCATGTTCAACCAGCTCCAGCAGCAGCAGCTCCAGCAGCAGCTCCAGCAGCAGCAGCAGCAGTTGCTGCAGCTCCAGCAGCTGCTCCAGCAGCCGCCCCCGCAGGCCCCCCTGCCCATGGCCATGAGCAGGTGAGTTCCCGGGGAGGGTGGCGGCTCTAGTCCTGCTACTCAGACCCGGGCCTTGGAGACCCCTTCCCAGCCCTTCCTCCCAGAGACCTGCCTATGTGAGTCCTGCAAGTCATTTCCCACCCCCAGGAGGGCAGAGAATGGAGGGGAGGCTCTCCCGGTGACACTCTGACACCCGATCTCCACACACAGGGGGCTCCCCCAGCAGCAGCCACAGCAGCAGCTTCTGAACCTCCAGGGCACCAACGCGGCCTCCCTCCTCAACAGCTCTGTGCTGCTGCAGCGAGCTTTGCTTCTGCAGCAGTTGCAAGGTATGGCCACAGGCCCTTCTCCCTGCGTCTTAGTGCCGGCTTCCCAGCAGCCCCCCAGTCCCACCAGATCCACAGCGTCAGCCTGAGAGGGAGCTGCTGGCGGCGTCCCCAGTTTACAGGCGGGACACCGAGGCTCCAGGAGGCACAAGTTGCTCAGCTGCAGGCGGGTCTGTCTGACCGCACACATTGTGTGCCCTTGGCCATGTTGCTGGCTCTGTGGACAGCACTCAAAACATTTCACTGACCTTCAGGTTACGTGAGATGCTGGATGGAAAGACCTGTTTTGACCACCCTCCCCTGCATCCCGTTTGACAGATGAGGAAGCTGAAAGTCCAGAGAAGGGAAGTCCTTTGCCCTGGGTCACACAGCACCAGCCGTGGCCGAGCTAGACCAAGGCCTGAGCCTCCCGACCCCCTGGACCTCTGAGTGGGTGCTTTAGGCCTGTGCCCTGGCCTCAGTTTCCCCATGGGGAGAGCAGTTTTTCAGCTCTTCTCTCCAAGATGCTGCCCTGATACTTTCCAAGATACCTCAGCCCCTTCGGGAGTAACCCAGGGGCCCAGTGGCCTGGGGCCAGCTCATGTTCAGATCCAGACTGTCCCCAGGGTAGCTGTGACTTGCCAGCCTGGACTCTGTGCTGAGGTCTTTACAAACCCAATTCCTCGACTCAGCTGACAACCCTAAGGAGAGGTTCACTCATGGCCCCATTTTACAGGTGAAAAAACAGGCCCAGAGAGGGGCACGTGCCCATGGTCACACAGTGAGTAGGTGTTGATGAGAGGGAGAATTAGAGCCCAGATCTTACCACAGAGCTGTGTGCTGAGACGCTAGACTCTCCTGCCCCCCAGCAGGGTTTGCAGCCAGGGCAGATGTGATGGTTGTCACTCTTCAGCCCTGCCAGGGCCACCTGGGTGTGAATGGTTCTGGGAGCTTACATATAAATGACAGACAGCCCTGGCTGGCGTGGCTAGGTTGCTCGGATATCATGCCATGCACTGAAAGGTTGCTGGTTGGATTCCTGGTCAGGGCACATGTCTGGGTTGCGGCTCGATCCTCAGGAGGCAGCTGATCGATGTTCTCACATCAATGTTTCTCTCTCTCTCTCTCTCTCTCTCTCTCTCTCTCTCTCCCTCTCTCCCCCTCTCCCTCTCCCTCTTCCTCTCCCTTTCTCTCTCAAAAAAATCAATTATAATCTTTAAAAAAAAATAAACGATAGATAGAATTGTGCACCTGAAATCTATATAACTTTATTAACCAATGTCACCCAAATAAATTCCATTAAAAAAATCAACAACAAAAAGAAAAGAAAAAGTGACAGATAGATGAGTGGAGAGATAAAACCACACACAGGGACCCACAATATATGCATATATTTCCCCCCATTTAAAAAGCTACACTCTTCAAAGACAAGTGAAAAGAGCATTTTTAAAAGAGGATAAGAAAACCCAAATTACCGTCTGTAGCCTCACTCACCTCCTGAAGAAAAGAACCACCTGTCAAGGTTTGGGTGTGTTTCCTCCCATTCTTTTCTAGGCACTGCCCTGGGGATTGGTATGTGATGGTGGTTATTGACACAAATGAAAGGCTGGATCTTGTTTCTCACTGAATAGAACGGCACGATCATTTATCATGTGATTGGACAGTCTCTGGTTATGTGTTAGTAGCTGTTTAATATTCCATTGGAGGGATGTGCCCTTGCTTACCTAAACCTTCCCAGCCATTTCTTTCTCTTTTTTTCTATTTTAAATAACAGTGGGATGAATATCCTGTTTGAGACTATTTTCTTAGAATGGATTCCCAAGAGTAGAATAACTGGGTGGGTGGGGGATGGGTATTTTATGGCTCTTGATAAGTATTGCCAAATTGCTTTCCTAAAGGACTGGACCAGTTTGCAATGTCACCAGCCACGTATGACAGTACCGGTCTCACCATGCCCACAGCAACACTGGGTATTATATGCTTTTTTATATATATACATGTATATACATATAACTTACTAACTTGGTTGGCAAAAAGCTATATTATTGATGCTTTCGTTTACATTTCTTGGAGTGCTAGTGCAGTTTAACATTTTATCATGGTCTGTTAAGCGTTTGTATTTCTTTTTGTGACTTGTCCATGTCCTTTGCCATTTTTCTTTTTATGTATTTTATTTTTTTGCATAATCCCTTCACTTTTTTCCATCCGCTCCCAAATCCCACCCCCCCCCCCCCCCCCCCCCGCCCCCCCCCCCACAGCTTTCATTCTGTTCTCTGTATCTATAAATCTGTTTCTGTTTTGTTAGTTTATTTTGTTCATTAGATTCCACGTATATGAGTGAAATCATGTGCCTTTGTCTTTCTCTGACTGGCCTGTTTCACTTAGCACAATGCCCTCCACGTCTGTCTGTGCTGTTGCAAAGAGTAGGATTTCCTTCTTTTTTACGGCCGAGTAGTATTCCGTGTGTAATTGTACCGCAGCTTTTTTTTTTCATGATGAGATATAATTTTAATTCAACATCAGCTTTGTTACACACAAAAATTGTAGTTTAGTTACTCTGTGTTTACATTAAAAAGTTGTAAATTTCAACAGCTACAGCTTCTCTTCAATTGATAGAATGTAACAGAGTTTATGAATATAAAATAAATCAAATGCATCACAACTAATTCCAAAAATATTGCGGCTCCATAGTTTTTTTAATTTACAAAGAACCTAGTTTGTACCACAGTGATGAGTTCCAATGAACATTGTATTCAGCTCTGTACCACCGCTTTTTTATCCATTCATCCATCTCCTGATGGCCACTTGGGCCGCTTCCAAATCTTGGCTATTCTTATATAATAAAAGGGTAATATGCAAATTGACCGAACTGTGAGACGACTGGTTACTATGATGTGCACTGACCACCAGGGGGCAGATGCTCAATACAAGAGCTGCCTCCTGGTGGTCAGTGTGCTCCCACAGAGGGAGTGCCGCTCAGCCAGAAGCCCAGAAGCCGGGCTCAAGGCAGGCGAGTGCAGCAGCAGTGGCGGGAGCTTTTCCCGCCTCTGCAGCAGCGTTAAGGATGTCCCACTGATGGCTTAGGCCAGTGGTTCCCAAACTTATTTGGCCTACCGCCCCCTTTCCAGAAAAAATATTACTCAGCCCCTGGAAATTATTATTTTTTAAATTTTAATAGCAGTTACTCATCGCCCCCAAATGCACCTGTGGCCATCACCGCCCCCCTGGATCGCTGCAGCGCCCACCAGGGGGCGGTAGCGCCCACTTTGGGAATCACTGGCTTAGGCCCACTCCTGGTGGGGAGCGGGCCTAAGCCAGCAGTGGGACATCCCCTGAGGGCTCACAGACTGCAAGAGGGTGCAAGTCGGGCTGAGGGACATCCTCCCCAGTGCACGAATTTTGGTGCACCAGGCCTCTAATTGTAAATAATGCTGCAATGAACACAGGGGTGCACATATCCTTTTGAATTAGTGTTTTGGGTTTCTTTGGATACATACCCAGAAGTGGAACCACTGGGTCATAAGGCAGTTCCGTTTTTAATTTTTTTTTTTTTTTTTAAATATATTTTATTGGTTTTTTACAGAGAGGAAGGGAGAAAGAGAGAGAGTTAGAAACATCGATGAGAGAGAAACATTGATCAGCTGCCTCCTGCACACCCCCTACTGGGGATATGCCCGCAACCAAGGTACATGCCCCTGACCGGAATCAAACCCGGGACCTTTCAGTCCGCAGGCCGACGCTCTATCCACTGAGCCAAACCGGTTCCGGCCGTTTTTTATTTTTTGAGGAAACTCCATACTGTTTTCCATAGTAGCTGCACCAATCTGCATTCCCACCAGCAGTGCACAAGGGTTCCCTGTTCTCCACATCCTCGCCAGCACTTGTTGTTTGTTGATTTATTGATGGTAGCCATTCTGGCGGGCATGAGGGCTTTGCCATTTTCCTTTGGGAGTGTGCCATCTTTCATCTCACTGTAACAGCTGGTTGGCGTTCTGTTCTCTCCCTGCACATCTGTGTACATGTATTTGTTTTAAATCCATGTTAATTGAACACTTACTATATACAAGGCACACTTGTATATCTCATTGGATCCTCCTAATAACTGAGTCAAGCACTATTATTATCCCCATTTTACAGATGAGGAAACTGAGGCTGAGAAGGGGGAACTGATTTGCTCAGGGTCACAGAGCTTGTACTCTCGAGTCTGGATTTGAATAAGCTGTCACAGCACATCTGACGCATGCCCTGAACCCCTGTGCTTGTCCTCCGAGCCTTGGGGCAAGAACTTGAACTGTCTATTATGGCTCAAATACTCCCCAGCACTGGGATGCTGAGCCTGATGAGGTGTTCCCCGGGTGGTTGGGTGATGGGCAGTGGGAAGTGGACAAGGCATTTGTGCAGCTGGTCCTAGAACAGTTGCAAGCTCGAGGCCCTGGGGACTGAGAGAGGCTCCGGGGAAGCCTCCAGAAGAAAACACCTACACGGAGACCTGAAGTAACTGGGAGGTAGTGGGGACAGAAGGTCTCAGGTGGAAGGAACAGAGGCAGGAAGAAACCAGGCTTGTTTGAGGGATACACGGGAGCCTATAGCTGGAGTCTAGTGGGGGCATGTGTGGGGCGAATAGAAAGAAAGGAGGTCAGGGAGGAGGGCAAGGCGGACCTGGCACCATGAGCAGCAGGGAGCTATGGAAGGGTTTAGACAGGGGGAAGGGCGACGTCAGAATGTGGTTTTAGAAAGATTACCCTTTGCTGCTCTCCAGTGCAAACCTGGCTGACATGCAGAGATGAAGTGGCGTTGGAAGGGGGCTGGGAGTGGAGCTAGCAAGGGGAGTCAGGCTGGACTGGAAGAGGGGGAGGGGATAGGGTTGGTAGGGTTTGGTGCTGGCTTGGTGGGGGGATAAAGAGAGGGAGGAGTCAGGAGGACCTCCCAGAGACCCTGGATAAGTCCTCCGCTTCATGTCTTTTGTGTCATCAGTAGAAACAGTATCTACCCTGCTGATGGCTGGGCCTAGTGACTGGGGCCACGCATAGAAAGCTTAGCCTCTACCATCCAACCAAATGTGAAAGTGCCGTTAACTTTTATGCAGAGCACTGTGTAACGTGAAAGCACGAGAATGCTCCGCCCGCAATGTGCTATAATCCCTCTTCTCCATCTTCTTGCCTACAGGTAACCTTCGCAGCTACAACCTGGCCACCCCGAACCTGACAGCCCCCAGCCTCACACCCCCCCAGATGGCCACCCCAAATCTACAGCAGTATTTTCCCCAGGCCACTCAGCAGTCCCTGCTGGGCCCCCCTCCTGTCAGGGTCCCCATAAACCCCTCCAAGCTCATCCTTGCAGGGCGGAACCCCCAGAAACAGGCCCGGACCACCCCTGATCGCAAGGTGAGTGGTGGCGGGGGGCAGAGCAGGCAGGGATGGGAGAGGGCTGGCCTGGTGATCAGCCAGCTCCCCACTCTGGCCCACACTGGGCAGGCCACACCCCTCTTTATGCCTTAGTTTCTTCACCTGTAAAGTGAGCAGGAGGTAAGTTGGACTTGTGTAGTGTTTCTCAAACTTCAAATATTCCTGAACCCCTGATGGGATTTTTGCCATGTCCAAATATCATCAGTATTATTATTTACCTAAAATTTCTCTTTTTAAAAAAAATAGATTTTTATTGATTTTTTACAGAGAGGAAGGGAGAGGGATAGAGAGTCAGAAACATCGATGAGAGAGAAACATCGATCAGCTGCCTCCTGCACACCCCCTACTGGGGATGTGCCCGCAACCAAGGTACATGCCCTTGACCAGAATCGAACCTGGGACCCTTCAGTCCGCAAGCCGACACTTTATCCACTGAGCCAAACCGGTCAGGGCTAAAATTTCTCTTTTTAAAAAAATTAAGCTATAATTGACACATAACACTATATTAGTTTTAGGAGTGCTCCTTAAAATCAGCACTGCCTGATGGAAATAAAATGCAAGCCATATATGGAATTTAATTTTTTCTAGTAATTATATTAACAAAGCAAAACAAAACATGTGAATTTAATTTTAATTAAATATATTTTATTTAATCCAATATATTCAAAAATTATCATTCCAAAATGTAATCGATATAAAAAATGAGCGAGGTGTTTTACATTTCTCTCTCTCTTTTTTTTTTTTGTACTAAATCTTTAAAATCTGATGTGGATTTTATACCAAATCTCAGTTTGGCTTTCCACGTTTCAAGTACTCAAAAGCCACCCACCTGTGGCTAATGGCTCCTGCCTGGGATAGCACAGCTTGAAGTGAACTGGACTCTGCTCAGTGATTGATTGCTGATTGATTTAAGAGAGGGAAACATCGACTTGTTGTTCCACTTATTTATGCATTTATTGGTTGATTCTTGGATGTGCCCTGACTGGAGATCGAACCCGCAACCTTGGCACATCAGGATGATACTCTAACTCACTGAGCTATCCGGCCAGGGCCTCTGCTCAGTTATTTAAAAAGGAAACATATTATATCACTACATAAATAAAATAAAATAAAATAAAATAAAATAAAGTAAAATAAAAGAAAAGAAAATAAAAGAAAAGAAAAGAAAATAAAACAGTAGAAAGGAAAGGTAATGGGGGTGAAACCATATTATAAAGCCCTGAACTCCACACTGGCATCCGAAGGTTCTGAGCCGGCACCCCGCTACTCCCCGTCTGAGAGGGGGTGAACACTTCAGAGGGAGGGTCCCCTGATAAGCAGAAAGACTCAGAGAGACTGGCAAAGGGAATAACGTACTCCCCGAGACTGTCCTGGCCCTGAAAGTCCCAGCAGCTCCTCACACACACCGTGCTCCTCAGGATTCTGGGGTGGGGGCAGTACCCGCTTTCTGCCTGCTCCCAGGCAGCCCCCCTCTGGGGGTGAGGCATTTCCCTCCAGAGAGGGGTCCTGGCCTCTGACCTTCCAGGGGGCCTCTCCTCACAGGCTTGTCTCTGATCACCCCACTCCCATTTTACAAATGGGAAAACGGAGTCTCAGAGTGGGGTGGATGGAGGTTTCCCTGGGGGAGAAAGACGCAGAGCTGGGCTTCCTGACTTGAAGGCCGGTGCCCATGTCCTGCAGGTAGTTGCTGCAGGGCACGGAGGCCTGATGTGGTGGGCGGTCCCGCTTAGTACTGGTTCCCAGGGGAGGTGCAGAGCTAGGTTTGCCCTTCCTCCAGCCAGAGGCCAAGGCCCTTTCCTTGCCTTGCTCAGCTCCCCTGAAGGGTTCCTGTAAGAAGTGCGTTTGGGGCTCTGGAAAGGCCTGGGGCAGGAAGAGGCCTGGGCTTTGGGGAAGGGGCCTCGGCCTCTAGCTTGGAGGGGTGGGTGTGGGGGCAGAGGTCATTTTGTATAGGAAGGAGGGGAGGTGGTGTCAGGCTCGGGTGAAAGGAGAGTACTCCGGGCTATGAGAAGTCACGGGGGTTTCGGCCTGAAAGAGACGAGACGCGTGATCAGGTGTGCATTTGAGGAGGGGCCCTCTGAGCTGCTTGCAGGGAAGGGGGGACGTCAGGACGCAGCACTGTGGCCCGGAGAGGGCTCATGGCCCCCAACCTGGGTTTACTTGACATCAGGAACCAGATGGAACGCCCTGGACACGATTCCTGGGGAGTTTAAGATCATCTCTTGGCAGCTCTAGGGCCAGGCCCCCAGGCCCCTCATCTCCTGGGACCGTAGCAGCTGCTCTTGGGCAAGGATGTATTTGCAAGGTGGGCAGTGGGTGTCAGAAACGGTTTCTGAACGGAAGCAGGACTCTTCTTCTCAGACGATGCCCGTGGGAGACGAGGCAGACCCCCCAGAGGGGTCTGAGGAAGCTGTGGAGCCCCGAACGGACACACCAGGTGAGGGAGCTGCTGGTCCTTCAGAGGGGATGGCGGTTGGGGCGAGTGGGTGAAGGGCTGGTCATGGAGGCAGGGATCTTGGTGGGGGGTGAGCCCAGGCCTTACCTCCTAGAGATGGTTGGTGCTTGACCTGTCCCTGGCAGCCACTCATCTGCCCTTCCTTCTAGACCAAGATTCCCCTCCCTGCCCAGATGATGTCACTAAGGAGACTTGCACTTCGGCACCTGAGCCAGAGTCCTGTGAAGCGTCTGGGCCACCAGCTAAAAGGTCAAAGAGGTAACTGATGCTGAAACCCGCCGGGGCCCAGGAGGCCTGTACTCTCATTCCTGCAAAGGCCAGGGGTGGGGGGGGAGCAGGGGGCGGCGGGGGTAGGTGGGGAAAGGACTCTTCAGGGGAGTTGGAACAAGGACAGGGCATTGGCTTCTGGCTTAGAGGAAGGTCAAACCTAATTCTGCATCTCACGTGGGAAGGCCCCAGGCCAGACAGACTCTGATGTCTTCACTGGCTGAGCCCCCTGGAGACAGACGAAGTGGCCAGGTTGAGGGGTGGAGATGTGCATCTGGGACCTAGGGTGGGCAGAGGGTGGGTAGCTCTGCAGGCCTTGGTTGCATATTAGCAAGTTGTGGGAGGTGGGAGCAAGTGATCCTTCCAGTTTATTTAGGCTGAGAGCCAAAGGGGCTTGCCCGAATGCCCAGCTCGAATGGGGTAGAGTGATGATTGGAACCTGGGTCTTAGCCTTTCTAGGGAGCCGGTTGGAAGACATGAATTTGATCTCCTTTGATCCTTCCTAGCTCAGAGAAGCCCACAGAAAAGGGACCCCCAGGGCAGCTGCAGGCGAAGGTCCAGCCACAGGCCCGGATGACAGCGCCGAAGCAGACGCAGACACCTGAGCTGCTGCCCGATCCACTGGAAGCCCGAGTGCTGCCACGATCCCAGCCACGGGTTCTGCAGATCCAGGCCCAGGTGCAGCCGCCGCTGCAGAAGCAGGCACAGACACAGACCTCCCCAGAGCACTTAATGCCGCAGCAGGCCCAGCCGGAGGCAGAGCCGCAGACGCAGGTGCAGCCACAGGCACAGGTGCGGCCCCCAAGGCAGGTGCAGCCACCGCTGCAGAAGCAGGCACAGACCCAGACATGTCCACAGGTCCAGGCAGGAACACAGCCGAGGGCCCAGCCAGTGGAGCAGCCACCAGAGCAACCTCCAGTGCAGTTGCCAGTGCAGCCACCGGACCAGACCCAGGGGCAGCCTGCGACGCAGCCACAGGTGCCAGTATCAGAGCAAGCACCAGTTCCGGCTGATTCCCCACTGCAGGAGGCACCGCCCAGTGCAGTAGAAGCTGAAGCAGGTAGGTGAGCGCTGGCTCCCAGCCGGCCCGGTGCTGGGACAGCTCTGTCCAGACCCCTCTGTCCTCCCCTGACACTGTCCAGCTCTGACTGGGCGCTACCTAGGACCAAGGGTTGGACCCAGAACCAGGGTTTGGGGCCATTCACACCAGAGGCTTAAAGGCCTTGGCTGTGAGCACAGAAGGTGGCCCTTGGGCCCGGGTCCCTCTGGGTCCGGTGGGCGATGGGCCCTGGGAAACAGCCCATGTGTCATTCCAGGCCTGGAGGAGGCCTCCCCGGAGCCGGCGGCGGCCCAGGTCAGCATGGAGGCGAGCCAGGAGGAGCTGACCGGTGGCCTGGATGTGGGAGAATGTGAGAAAAGAGCAAGAGAGATGCTCAGGGTGGGTAGAGCTGCTAATGTGGCAGCATGGGGACCACAGTGCCCAGCGGTGGGAGGGCCTCTTTCTATCCCAGGCCCCCTCAGGGCCCCCTCGCGTTTCCCCACCTGGGACATGTGCCCGCAGCCTGGGCTTGTGGGCAGACCTGAGTGGGTTTGACTGTGGTTCGTCAAACTCTTCATGCTGTCGAGCTGCCTTCACACGCGCCTTTGCTCTGAAGATCTGATGCTACTTTGGGGACAGGAGTCCCTTCCAGCCGGCTCATCCCAAAACTGGAGTGTCTAGTCCCCTCCCATGAGTAACGTTGCTCTTTAGAGAGAGTGGAGTGTCAGCCTGTGCCAGGGGTTCGGGGCCCAGCTCTGCTTCACAGTGGATTCCCTCCTTTGTGTCTCACTTTCTCCCTGTCATGTGTATGAGGAGGGGGTGGACCTGGCTTTAGATTTAGGGGGGCCTGGCTTTGCATCCTGACTGCAGTGCTTCCCAGCTGGGTGAGCTTGGACAGTCATCGAACAGCTTAGAGCCTCAGTTCACCCATCTGTAAAGGGGGCTGTCGGAGGCCAGATGAGACCACGCTCAGAGGTCTTCAGCACTGGGGCTGGCCCACCATGCGCGTCCAGCTGGTGATAGCTCTGCTCCTGCTCCTGGCGCAGGTGTGGGGTGCCGGGGGCTCCCTGAAGGTCACCATCCTGCAGAGCAGTGACAGCCGGGCCTTTAGCACCGTATCCCTCGCACCCGGGCCACGTTCCAGCGACTCGGCCTCCGCCACCCCTGCCGCCGCCACCAGCGTGCCCTCCAAGCAGGCGCTCCAGTTCTTCTGCTACATCTGCAGGGCCGGCTGCTGCAGCCAGCAGGTACTGCCCCCTGCCCTGGGCAGTGGGTCGGTCGGGGGGAGGGCCTGTGTGGGGTGCCCAGCCTGCCCGGTCCACGACTGCCTGCGTGGCCACATGGGGCCCCCTGAGCCCCGGTTCCTGGCAGCTGAGCATCGCTCAGAGCACATGTTCTGAGCAGCCACGAAGGCAGGCTTTTACAGTCAGGCAGAGCTGGTTTGAATCGGCCCTGCCCAGCCCCGTGGACCTCGGGAGGGAATTAACCCTTTGTGCCTCAGTTTCCCCAGGCGTCAGATGAAGAATCATGTAGAACCCACCACATCAGGTAGTTCTGAGGATTCAGCGACTCGACATTGAAGTCATGAGCCCCAGGCCCGGCCCGGAGCGAGCATAGCATTCATAACAGCATTAGACTCGTATTGCCACCCCGGGGGCTGTAGTCACCCCTGCCACTCTGTGCCTGGCGGAGCGGAGCCAGGGGACCTGAGAGCTCCTCAGACTGCTCCTGGTCTTTGAGGCGCTCACACAGGCTCCAGGAAGAGCGGAGGCCTCCTCCCTCGGCCCAGCCCTGACCGCCTTCCGGGGACCAGTCCTCATGCCCATCCCTCCCTCCCTCCTGTCGTAGGAATTCCAGGACCACATGTTGGGGGCCCAGCACCAGCAGCGGCTCGGGGAGATCCAGCACATGAGCCAAGCCTGCCTCCTGTCCCTGCTGCCCGTGCCCCGGGATGTCCTGGAGAGAGAGGACGAGTGAGTGCGGGATCTCGGAGGCCCTGTGTGGGGGGTGGGCAGTCTCCCAGGCCAGGCCAGGCTGAGACGGGCCCTGATTCTACCATCTGCAAGGTCTGCCTTTGTGTTAAGCATTGCCCTCCCCCAGAGGCCTCTTCACACCATTCACTGTGTGACCTTGGACCTCAGTTTTCCTTGTCTGTAAAATGGCCTCGTAAGAGGTGTAATGCAGGAACTCATGAACTACACCCTTTCTCAGGGCTCCATCCAGGCAGGACCAGCGTGGCCGTCCACGTGGGAAGGACATGGGTTGTGGGGCTGCTCCCCTGGCTCAGGTGCTGACCCTGCCTGCCACAGGGGCATGGTGGTGCGGGCAGGAGCAGCTCTGGGAACCACGGGGCATTAAACTGAAGGAGAAAGAAAGGTTTCCAAGGCCAGATATGCTCGGTGCTGTCACTGTCCTGGTGACCCTCTGGCATCCCAGATGCTTCTAAATCCCATTTCTCCCCCAACTCTCCTTGTTCATATTCTTATTTAAGTATTCTTCCAGGTGAAGTTCCAAACCCTTTTGTTAAGTTTCCAAAAGAGCTCCTGTTGGAATTGCCCTGCGTTTACAGAGCACCTAGGAGAGCGACCGTCTTTCCAGGAACGTGGGGTCACACTGCCCTTGTTTTGCTTGTCATCATTCAGGGAGCCGCCTCTGAGGCGCTGGTGCAACACCTGCCGGGTCTACTACGTGGGGGACCTGATCCAGCACCGCAGGACGCAGGACCACAAGGTGCGAGGCCCACGCGCTGCCAGGCACCTGGATGTGCTGTCTCCAGGCCGGGGGCTGGGAGGGAAGGAGTCCAGGCTGGAACGGAAAGCCCGTGTCAGTCTGTCTCTGCGTGGCCGTCACACGGAAGTGTGGCTTCTCAACGCCTCAGCGTGTTTCTTCTTTGGGCTTCAGTTTCCCCATTTGTCCGGCGCGGGCCAGGCACCATCTCGCCCTGCCGTTGAGCCATGGGGCTCGGGGGGCTCCTCCTAGCGCATGTGCTCTCTCCTGTCTTCTCTCTGTGGCCCTCTGCCATCCCATCTTGGAGCCAGTGGCACAGGGAAGGGACGTGCTTGCCCATGCGCTGGCACAGGGGCTGAGTGGAGCCAGCCGATTGCAGATGTGGTGGCCGGCAGGAGGGAGGCCAGGCCTCGCTGGCGCTGCCAAGCTGCGCCTGGGGACACTGCCCGCCACCCCCTTGGTCTGCCCTCCTTCCCCCCAGATCGCCAAACAGTCCCTGCGACCTTTCTGCACCGTTTGCAACCGCTACTTCAGGACCCCCCGCAAGTTTGTGGAGCACGTGAAGTCCCAGGGGCACAAGGACAAAGCCAAGGAGGTAACCCCGGCTCCCTCGGGGGACAGGCTCGGGGAGGTGCAGAATCTTGGCCAAGGCCACGCAGCAAGTTGAGATTTATCCCAGCCCGAACTCATAGCAGGTCCAGGGCGATTGGGAGACCCGGGGGGAGAGGGGGGGTGGATGGGGTGTGGCACCTTGGCCACTCAGAGCTGACCTGAGCCCTGACCCACTTCCTGGGCAGATGAAGATGTTCGAGAAGGAGATAGCTGGCCAAGATGAGGACCACTTCATCACGGTGGATGCCGTGGGCTGCTTTGAGGACGATGAAGACGAGGAGGAGGAGGATAATGAGGAAGAGATGGAGGTTGAGGAGGAACTCTGCAAGCAGGTGCTTGGGGGGAAGAAGGAATGTGGGAGGCAGGCTGGAGGCTGGACTCCCAGCCCAGGAGGGACCGTGCCCCACCTCCCGGGGCCAGGAGGCACTGTGCTGGCCTTTATAGGCACTAATGCTTGCTACAACTTAGTACTAGTACTAACTATATCCTGTAGGACTATGTAAATACACCAAGGTGACTACAGGGGGGCAGTGAAATCTGTGAGGGCCTCGAAGCCTGGCTGCAATGCTGATGTGTCGAGGAAGGGAAAGGGGACCCCGGGCCGAGGGAGCAGCATCAGTAAAGGCATGGGTGGGGGGCGATGCAGCACATACAGGAAAGGTCAGCGTAAGATGCTGCTAATGCTGATAGCTAGTGCAGTCGGCGCTTTTAGAGCACCTACCTGTATACCAGCATGTGCCAAGCACTTTCCTGGCAGAATCTCACCAACTTGGATGCCAGGCTGTGCTCGGAATGCCCCGCTACTCTGCCTCCCGTGAGCGAGGAGCTAGAGAAGCGTGGACTCTCTTCAGTTTAACAGATGTTTCCGGAGCAGCTGTTCCGGGCCAGACCCTGGTGCTGGGATATGTGGGGACGAAGGCCTGGCCCCTGGCAGACCTCGCCCGTTACAGCCCAGGGTGGTGATGGGGCAGCAGAAAGGACGCAGAGGGACTGTGGATGGAGGGTTGCAAGGGTGGCTCCAGCCCCAGGCAGGTTAGGGGTGAGGCTGGCCTTGCTCGTCAGAGTCAGAAGTGGTGTCCTGGGCAAGCCCCTTGGCATCTCTGTGCCTGTTTCCTCTGTTCAAATAGTCCCCACTCAGGCTGTGAGGGTGACAGCCCCGGCTGGCAAACGGGAGTGGGTGTCACTCCGAGAAGCCACGTTTGCTGGCCTGGTGTGTGGGAGGCACTGCTGGGCATGGTGAGGCCGGCATGGCTGGCGTCAGGTGGCCTCATCTGCAAGGGGCTTATGGCGAGACGAGGGGTCCTAGGTCACCTGAAACCCATCCCCCAGGACTGAGGTCACTGCAGCACCAGGTGGGAACTCATGGAGCCGGCAGGGGGCTCACGGTTAAACGTGAAAGCAGGACTTGGGGCCTACCAGGGTTTACTAACCTGGCTCCTCCCTAAACCAGCTGTCTGACACCAGGCAAGTGAGTTAATGTTTTCTCTCTTATGTAAAATGCGTGAACCACAGGTGTTGGTGGTGAGGATTCAATGAGATGACATGTGTGATGTGTTGGGCACACCTGACATGGTTATGGCCACTGTGGGAGCAGGAGGGCTTCCTGGAGGAAGCGACTGATTGAGCTGAGCCTAGGAAGTATAGATTGGGAAGGGTACTGTGGGAGGCAGGATTGGCTGTGCAAAGGCTCAGAGAATGCCACCCACAGCCTCCTCAAAATCATGGGGGACTGTTTAAGAGCATGGTTGGGTTCCAGGGCCCCCCACCTGCATTCAGGGGTGGGGGGCCCTGGGGGAAGTCAGATCTGAGGCCCACACTTGCATGTTTCCAGGTGAGGTCCAGAGGGATAGCCATAGAGGAGTGGAAAGACCCAGAGACCCACAGCCCCAACACTGCACATGGTAAGACCTCAGCTCTGACCTCAGCCTCCAGGTGACCCCCCAGATCCCGGCCACAGCATCCTGGCCAGGTGGCCGATCCTCGTCCTTTTCTCCCACCTGGAAGGTGGGGGGATAAATGGGCCCCTAAAGAGGGCGGCACACCTGGCTGGTGTGGAGGAACGTGAGTGCACAGACCCCGCTGTCCCACAGGTGTGGACTTCATGGTGCCGGTGATGGGCTATGTCTGCCGCATCTGCCAGAAGTTCTACCATGGCAACTCGGGGGCAAAGCTCTCCCACTGCAAGTCCTCGGGCCACTTGGAGAACCTGCAGGTGAGCTGGGCCTCCAGCCCCAACCCACCCTGCCCAGGACTCACTCCATCCAAACTGGGAGCGATGGCAACTGGCCACCTCCCTCCTGTGTTTGACCTCAGCTCCCAGACAC